ATTGCGAGTAAAAGGCGTCCTCACTGCCTCACTGCGTGTCATGCTTGAAACAGCAACATCAAACAAACTTGGAATCAGTTCCTCAGAAGGTTAACATCCCTCACCAGCGTGCTTCGGGACAAAGCATTGCGATAAAAGGCGCCCTCACTGCCTCACTGCGTGTCATGTTTGGAACAGCAACATCAAGCAAACTTGGACTCAGTTCCTCAGAAGGTTAACATCCCTCACCAGCGTGCTTCGGGACAAAGCATTGCGAGTACAAGGCGACCTCACTGCGAGGATCTTACTCACTTCCAACTTATCGCTTCAACTTTCAGTTATTGGTTGATGTCTTGAATCGAAGCAGTCCTCTGGTCGAGTGCTTTTCGCATGCCTGAAGCTGTCTTGAGAAATATGAAAACCTCTCTTCTCAGTCTTTTTATGTCTTTGATTTAGTATTTCATTGCTAGTAGACCATCGCTAGTAGGTTGGAGGCCATCGCTAGTAGGTTGGAGGCCATCGCTAGTAGGTTGGAGGCCATTGCTTTGAGGTTGGAGGCCATCGCTAGTAGGTTGGTGGCCATTGCTTTTAGGTTGGAGGCCATCGCTAGTAGGTTGGAGGCCATCGCTAGCAGGTTGGAGGCCATCGCTACTAGGTTGGAGGCCATCGCTATTAGGTTGGAGGCCATCGCTTTTGGGTTGGAGGTCATCGCTTTTAGGTTATTTCTATTCTCAGTTTATGTCTTTGATTTATTGTTTCGAAATACTCACCATAATGGTGACATGAAAGCGTCCAACCCTGTCCCCACCTTGAAAACGAAAGGAGGCAACTCACGGAGTCAAACCATTCACCTGAGGTGCTTGAACTGGTGTTTTGTGACCTCATCCGTCCTTCGGTGTTTCTGTCAGCGTTGGATGTGCTCTCATTCCTCCAAGACCGAAGGCTAAGCTCCAGAACACTCCCCCATGTTGCGTTTGAGTGAAGGCGAATATTTGTTGTAACCTTTTCTAGTAACAAGAAGCTACTAGGGGCTCCTGGCCTTACTACTAGTAACAAGAAGCTTATATTGAGAATCTGACCTATCTCCTTTTGACCTTCTTTGGAGATTCAAACCAGTGTAGGATCCAAAGTCCGACTCCCGAGTTTATCGGGACTCACTGGGCAACCGAACCCCGCATTTGATGCAAAAGGCCAGTTCCCTCCTGAGAAAGTCTGACGGGCAAGGACGACCTGTTGACTTCCCAATTCACTCACTCTGTTGACATTCCTTTGTGTATGGAACGCACATCATTAGGACTATGACAAAGGACGCCTGACTTGGGCCGAGCCGCCCAAAAGCGATTTAAAGATTGGCTGGTTCGGAAGCCGATCAGCAGTCCCAGAGAGCCAGTGAGGGCCGTCCAAACCTGAAAGCGCAAAGATGGGCCCAAGACTTGTCACAAGACTTGTCGACTGAGAAAGAGTAAGAAAATGGAAAGAAGGACAAAAGAAAGAAAAGCCCTAAAGGAATCAATGGCGTTTCAAACCGAAAGCGTTTGTATTGAATATAAGGAAAGTGAAGGCGACATTAGACCTTGAATCAACAAGAGTTCATCCCTCAGCGCACAGCCAAGTTGCTTGACCTTTGCTCAAATCAGCCTCAATTTCAGTAACATTCCGATGAACATGGGGCATATGCCCACTCTAAGCTTTTGTGCTTTGGATTTTCCTTCTACTTAGCACAACGAACGCCCCAGGGCTTGCACTGCGATGTTGATTTCCTTGAATTCCTGCAACAGCAAATGAGCATCAAAACACTGAAGAAAGAACAATAGTTTAAAATAGTATTCTTTTCTTCTGCTCATCTTCACTTGCCAACTTAATGGAGCAAGAGCACTACTAGGGGCTCCTGGCCTTACTACTAGGAGCAAGGGCCTTACTACTAGTAACAAGAAGCTAGTAGAAACAACATATAAATAGAATTCAATTAGAATCTAATAAAAGGAATGCACCTCCGCATTGTCGGAGAGGAACAGGAGGAGAGCCGCAAGTACCACTGAAGGAAGGGCAAACAGAAATGCCTCGAGCCAGCACTTGGCCAAACATGTTGGGTGTGAGCCTACTTTGAAGTTATCAGTGGATTCGTCAACATTTTCAGGAATAAATGTAGCAAAATATCCAAAAGTCAACACGATGCATTTGGACATTCGAACTCATCTAGCCGAAATAGAATCCGCTCTAAGCTGGTGCATACCCACCCCAACCCGCCTTGGGGAAGACTGACCCCTTGAACTGGAATAAAAGGCGCAATCCCTCCTGGAAAAAGACAAGCAAGGAAAGCAAGCGATTTGAGACACAAAGTACAAAAACCGCTTGGGAACAGCTCCCACTTCACTTCAAGAGCGCTTGGACAAGCAAGCTAAAGCAACCTAGAAGTGATGGCATCCACCCTAACCTCCAACCTACTAGCGATGGTCTTCAACCCAGAAGCTCAAGCAAGCTAAAGCAACCTAGAAGCGATGGCCTTCACCCTAATAATAGCAGTGTCCTCCAACCTACTAGCGATGGTCTCCAACTCAGAAGCTAAAGCTGAGTCACCACAAAATCTAGAAACCAAATCATCAGCGCGAGCTATCCTGCATCCTAGGTAGTACTGCCTCTTCTACTAGCTACCTACCTAGCTAGCTACTACCTAGCCTCCTAGCGGCCTACTCCCCGGGCTTTAAACAAACGAAGCTAAAGCAAGCGATTGATTCAATCCCTTTTTCAATCAGAGCTCCGAGTAGCGGATCATGGCGGGTGGTGTCAGGCGACAGCCCTTGTTCGAACGAACAAATGACCCACCTTGAACAATATCCGTATATGTATATGTAGTCACATATACTTATATATATTATATTAAGGACTCTTTCCTTTATTTAGACCTTTTCTTATCTTCTTAAACTCCGTATTAGAGTCACATGTGATTGATTTTCCTCCACTGATCCACATGCTTCTGGGGGTTCTGAGCCAGAACGGCTACTGGGAGGTGAACCTTAAATACGAAGGAGCAAATGCTTTGCTTCTGTAGTCATGCAGTTCTGAGGCAGTGGTCTTTTTCTCGCTTAGGGTAGCGAAGTCCAAAAGAATGTTCTTGCGAAGACTTTTACTTCTTACAAACTAATGCATTTCTTTTAACAAGGACAAATGCTTTCTTTTCCTTTTTCTTCAGCCTTTATGCACTTTTTGATCTCTTTGGATGTTTCTGTTTTCCTATCTTTCTTTCTTGCAAGTACTTATTGGTACAATAAATAAATGCTTGTCCAGCACATATGAGTCATACTGGAACCCTGCTTCGTGCCTTGCGCAGCAGCTCTCCCGCCAAGAGTGCCGCTTCTGTGGCAGCTGCGATGGCCTCTGTGGCAGCTCCAGTGAAAAATAGAAGCGACCAACCTAGTAGCGTCCTTGCTCCTAGTAGCGATGCCCTTTGCTTCTAGTAGCTTCTTGCTCCTAGTAGTAAGGCCAGGAGCCCCTAGTAGCTTCCTTGCTCCTAGCAGCGATGGCCTCCAACCTAGAAGTGAAGGTAAACCCTCCGTTTGGCCCACAGTCGCTGCTTCGCTGAGCTTCGCTTTAAGTTTTGCGCTGCCTAATGTTCTCGAACTAATCGAACATGGTTTGGACGCCGCTGTTGTCTAAACCGCTTTGCAATGTTTTCTTGTCAACTAGTAGAATACCTCCACTGGTGATTGGCCCTTCATATGCGCAGTTATCACATGCATCTCTTCGGCTTGCTTTTTCTGACTTTGGAAGGTCACCTCGGACCTTTTCGTAACACGGTTCGCGCGCTTCGTGTGGCTTTTTGGCGTTGAAAAGGACATGAGCTCATGCTTGATAACCAAACTTCTTTCAGGTTATGCGGTCAGGCCTTATCGGTGTTGGTGGTTTCTGTTGTCTAGACCGAGTCGTTCAAATCAGACCGTTGGTAAAAGGCACAGTTAAGCTCATCTGACCTCAAAGCAACACACACACAAAAGCAAAAGACATGCAAAAGCGAAATCTCTGAAACAAAAGACAACCATGCGGGAAGAATAATGAAAATGAGGCAAATCAAGAGAAGACCCTTGTTGCAGGAAGGTGCGTGCTGACACTTATCGTCCAAAGCAGCAACGACAAGAAAAACTATGGCTTCACCGACAGCATCATGGAGACGACAAAGCGAAGAACACAAAACAAAGCTCTTTCGCTTTCTTTCGTTGTTTGTCTCTTTCCTTTGTTGCCTCATCTCAACCAGCCTCCACAGTGGACGCTTTAGACTCTTTGGGCACCGTGGGCACCGTTGGCAAAGGTGGCATTTGGACAGTCGCTGGAACGGTCGGAACCGGCAGCTCTGGCGGCTCAGGCGACGGAGCTGCCAGGCCCATACCAAGGAGTTGCTTCAGAACCTGCCAAGCTAAGACGCTACTAGGAGCAAGAAGCTACTAGGAGCTCCTGGCATCGCTACTAGTAACCAGAAGCTACTAGTAGCAAAGGGCATTACTAGTAGTAGCTAGAAGCTACTAGTAACAAGGAGTTGCTTCAGAACCTGCCAAGCTAAGGACCTTTCCGTTGGAGGCCATCGCTAGTAGCATGGTACGAACCTTTTCAAGGGGGTAGGCTGTGAGCTAGCTAAGAAGCTGAGTAAGGGGTAAGAAATGGTAAGAAACTAGAAGCCTATAGCAGCTAGTACTTATTCAGTAGGTTGTTACTACTATGTACCAGACACGTCTTCATGCTTTGTTTCGCATTGTTTTTGCTCTGCCTTTTGTTCAATAGTGCGCCTTGCTCTTCTTCTCAGCTGACTGCTTGGCCTCAAGGAAGCTGGACAAATCAGCTACGAGCACCAAAAGACGAGCAATTCCATGCAAGGTCCCTCTGGGCTCATCAAAGTCGTTTTGCTTCCGTTTCCGATTGCAACCTTCTCCAAACACCTTCAGCGTGGATCCTCCAGTTGGATGTCGACAGACTCCTTTTACCTTGAATCGCTTCTGCCCGCCTCGAGGGCCTCCTCCGCTTGCGGTGTAGCCGGCTTCACCTTCACCTCTCGCTTCGCCAACTCGAAGAAGCACAAACTCGCGGAAAAGTTATGGTTTGTCTATTGAAGAGGTTCTTGTTTGCCTCTTTTGGCCGAAGGGACGTAAGGAGCTGTAAGGAATGAAGGGACTGGATTTGGTTCCAGCCTTGGCGGCCGTAGCCTTGCCCCTCTTGCCCTTCTGAGATTCCTTGGCAACCTCAGGGCCGTATTGAGAGAACTCCAACCTAATAGCAATGGCCTCCAACAAGCGATAGCCTCCTCAGGGCTGTGTTGAGTTCTAGACTTAAACTTAAGTCTGCCAGAGTTCAAATGCTCTCAGCATCGGACGGGCTCTGCCCTGCAGAAAAATCTGAAACTTGAAGCTCGAAGATCACTCTGTAACTCGTGCAGAGCCTTTTCCCCTCACTCTGAATTTTTGTTGTTAACACCTGTTCTTTGGACCTTTTCCTTCTTTTTAGGTTGGAGGCTATCGCTATTAGAAATAAAGAAAAACGGTTTACATCTGTTCTTTGGACTTTTTCCTTCCTCTATTCTTTTCGACTTGGAGACCTTTCTTTTCTCTCTTGCTTCGCTGCGGCCCTGGAATCTTAAAGATCAGCTTGGCCTTATTGCGCTTCTCTAATTGCCCTCTGCTGCAATAGGGAAAACTTGGAGCGAGAGCGAAAACGCAGGCGATACAGAAGCTTTGACTGTATGCCAGTGATACGAACTGCCAAAGGCTCGAGGGGCAACACTGTGAGCATTGTAACGGCTTGACCAACTCCACAAACCAACAACATGAGTCTTCATTGGTTCGACATTCGACAAAATTCGGAACCAAATTTTCCAACAAATTCCAACAAGTTCTTGTTTCTCATGGATCTCAGCCCAATGGCTGCAAGGTAGTGGAAAGTTGGTCTGACAGCAAGCACATGTTAAAACTTGGCAGCTGTGCAAACCGCAAAAACCCCTTAAGGTAAAAGATGTAAAAGATAAGCAGGGACCCAAGGCTGGCACCTGGCACTTGCAGCCTAAATTGAACAAAACACATGTAGTCTTGAGTCTTTCCACAATTCCACCTTGACCAATTTTTCAGCTTTTCTGCCAGGTTGCTCTTGAGAGCCTGCAATGAATTAACGCTGGTACGGTTCATCCTGGTACACAACGCTCAAACGCTCTTTTGGCCGAATCTGATGCGTTCAACATGTCTCAACCTTCATAACCACAAGTCTAGATCGATGCTTCATATTCCCTCATGTTCATGTTTAGCTACTAGGAGCAAGAAACTAATAGAAACAAGAAGCTAGTAGTAACAAGTGACTTACTAGTAGTAACAAGAAGCTAGTAGTAAAGGAGACTATCGAAAAAAAAAAGAAGAACTGCGCAAGCTGTTCTTCTCCGTCTCACCCATCGTCACCCATCGAACGCTCTACTCGGTCCTCCATGACCTGATCGATGTTCTTTTCCTGCACAGCAATGGCCTACTAGCGGCCTTGCTCCTAGTAGCGATGCCAGGAGCCCCTAGTAGCTTCTTGTTC